TAACAACACTAGCACAGACCTGAGACCTGGTCTACAAACATTAGTGTTTGATCAGCAATCATCAGACTCTTATTATCCACTCTGGGGAGTGTGTTTGTTGGGGGGGGGGCAGTCCTGGTCCTGGTCCTGGAGGTCCACTGGAGGTCCACTATCCTGCATGTTTCAGGTGTTTCTCTGCTCTGACACACCTGGGTTAAATGATGAAGAGGTTTCTGAAGAACATGAAGACATATCAGATTTTTTTTCCTCTGCTGCCTTTTATTTGATTTGATTAGTATTTTTTTTGTATGTAATGTGTTTTGTTTTGTTTTTAAAAATGAAATGAATAAAAAAAAGACCTGCTGAAGAGCAGGGAAACATGCAGGATGGTGGTCCTCCAGGACCAGGACTGCACTAAGTCCACTCTCCTGGACTCAACACACTGTTAGCTTCATCCTTTCATTCAACCAGACAAAATCTGCTGAAGAAGCAAAAACTGAAAAACATGAACATGAGCTAAAAGTAGCAGAAAAAGCTGAAACTTTAAATGTAACAAGATAAAATCTAGTTTGCTGATTTACTGACAGGTTTGTCTGTTTTATTTAACAGGTTTTATTATATAAGTTATAAAAATATGAACATCTAGATAAATGTTTACTGGAAAATCCATCAACTTCAGTTGCAGCTTGTTCAGTCAAATAAACACATTTTTAAAAAATATTCATAGTATCTGTAAAATGCTGGACTTGAGCCTGCAGCATTAATATAATGAGACCACAGAACTGACCACTGATCCACCGCAGACCCCAACTGAAAATAACATGTTTACTCTGTAAATAAATCACATTTGGTCAGGTTACTTGTACTAACTCAAACGTTAGGACCTGGGCCCAGCACACTTACTGGTTTCACTTCAGCTGTTTATTCCTGTCTTTTCATCAGCAGCTGATAACAGAGATAAAACTAAATATCTGAAACCTGCTGCTTAAAGAAGAGACGTGAAAAACAGACGTCACCTGACCCTATATTTCACCATCTACATTAAAAACTGTAAATTATTGTTTGAATTTAATTTTTCGTTTTTTTATTTTTTGGAAAATGGGCAAATATATATGTATATATTTTTCTTCTTTCTGTTGCCTTTCATTTTTTCTCTCATTTCAGTTTTTATTATATATAGAATTTATTTTATTTTATTTAAAGAAATGAATAAATGAATATGAATGAATGAATAAAAACTAAACTGCTGGTGTTGCAGTCGTGCCTTTAACTTTTATTTTGAAACCTGAGAGAAAAAAAAACACTTTAAACTTTCACTTTAACCAGAAAGTTAATTTAGAAAAAGTTCATATTAATTTAAATAAACAAAGAAAGAGTTGATGAAAAATTGTGATTTTCTACAACTTTCTGAAGAACTGATTTGTTTTAAAGACCCAGACTTTGGTCACTCCTTGATTCAAGGTGGGCTTCACTCAAAACCTTTTTATTCAAACATAAAATCTGTGTTTTGGGCTGAAGACAAAAAGTGTCTGAGTTCATTTTTTATTGTTTTTAACGTCATAAATGTCACCAACGTCTTTACAGGAAGTTAATTCAGCTGATAAACAGAGGAGGAACCTTTTCACCTGCAGCTCCCTGAGACTCTGACTCTCTCTCTCTCTCTCTCTCTCTCTCTCTCTCTCTCTCTCTCTCTCTCTCGCTCTCTCTCTACTTCCTTTAGCTTCCATCACGCTGCCGGCTAAAACAAGACGGCTTTATGCTGGTGTCACACTGAGGAAACTTCACTGAGACCAACCCAGTTTTTCAAAGCATTCCTTCCTCCCTGCACCCCCCCCTGCCCCCCCACCCCTCCTGCTTACCTTTTCCTCACATTAACTCATTTGCTTCATCGTGAAAAATAATCCCACATGTTCTGTAGCACAGAGTCTGAACCTGTTCCCTGACTCCAAACGGCTCGTGGAGCCGGAGCGTCGGCTGCAGACGGGTCAGACTGCAGCTTCAGCACATGGAGGCCGAATGCTAGCTGTGTGTGGTGGAATGCACATCTGAGCCCCGCGGGCTGAGAAAACGTGTCTGTGCAGCTGCTCGCTGCAGAAACAGCTCCGGAGGAACCGGCTGAGACCCTTGAAGCCTGCAGCTTCAAACTCCTCAAGTTGATACTGAAGCAGCAGAAACTGGAGTCAGAGGACAGGTGAGGCTCTGCAGCTCCACCACCCAAAACCAGCAGGAAGTCAAACCCAGTCAGCAGACTGGGACTCATAAATGAAACGTTTGGATAAGACGTCTTCACAGTGTCTGCGTACGGCAGGCCGACGTGTGAGGCCTCGGTAATCCTGGACCCGGCCACGAGCAGCTATTAGAGCCGTGAGCCAGGACCCGTACGCAGCCCGGCTCTTTGAAGGCTCTGAAATCACAGGGAAGAGCAACCAGGACCATCATCAAATAACTGCTCAGTACTTAACTGGGGGAAACGTTTCCCACCAATCACAGAGCTCGGCCTTGTCCTGCAGCCCACCACAGATCTGAGTGGAGAAGGAGGAAGAGGAGGGGGGAGGAGGGGGGGGGTGCGCAGGCCAGCTTTTGGGCTTTAGTGTGGACCAGGACAGTGCGGAGATAGGGTGAACCTGTTTGACCACTTCTAACCCTGCTTCAGTGGACCCATGGCTCTAAAGCTGTGAGACCACCGGTGGTGCTCAGGATCCCCCTGGTGGTGCTCAGGATCCCCCTGGTGGCATCAAACACTCAGTCTGGAGAGTTTCTCATCTAAATAACCAGCTAATTAACTGATGAACTGTGACAAAAAGATAAAACATTAACGGTTCCAATGAATTATTCTATAAGTTGAGTTATTTCAGGAACTCGTGTGTCAGCTGACAGTGAATCTGTGAGGAAACAATCAACAAAATAAAGTTTTTATTTCATCTTTTGGCAACAAAAGGTGAGAAAATTGAACGTGTGTCATCTGAACTGTCCCATCTTAAACTGCTCCCCTCGGTTCTTATTTTAGAACCACTGAGTCCAATGGGCTCACCTTGTTGCCTGTCAGAAAAAAATGATTGGGGGGGACCCCAGCCTGAAATCAATCCTGCATCCCACTGAGCCCGTTCCCTCTGATGGTCAGGGTCAGGCTGTTGTTGGAGACACGTCTAAATACTGACAACAACAAGCTGTCATTTAAAGAAATATTAAGGTTACATGTTGGATGTGACCCATCCACCCTGCTAACCGTCTCCACACCCGCCCAGCGGACCCCTGCTCAAACAAAGGGGCTTCTTTGACTCTAAAGTCAATCCTGGTCTCCTGGTCTACCTACAGCTTCAGGTGATCCACAGACAGATTGGTTCATCCTCAGGGGCTGACACTGTCTAATCAATGACCACAGGTGATCTGGACCCTAAAATCTGTCTTAAATAATCTCCACAACATAACTTTATAACCTTATATAAGAGCTGAGAGACAGATTGGTTCATCACTGTGCTATAATTACCACAGGTGATTTGAACAATTAAAAACTAATAAAATACCCAGAACTTAATCCTATAAGATATATAAGAGTTTACAGACAGGATGGTTCATCCTCAGGAGCAGAGCTGTTCACATCAACATAATCCAGTTTATTTAATCTCCATTTCCTGAGCATGAGTTCAGGGACGTCTGAGTCCAGGTGAGTCCCATCCTTACCTGCTCGGACCTCAGCAGTCTGCAGGACCAGGCTTAAAGTGACCAAAACAGCCGAATCCAGAATCCATCTTTTCGTTTTCCACCTTGAGGACCACCTCTGCATCTCCATCGTTCAGGCGCCCTCAAAGTCCAGCAACTTCTGGGCGACTTCAGGTGATTTTTATTTTATTTTATTTTATTCTTCAGGTCCCTTCCACGATCCCGAATAGGAAAAAAAATAAATAAATAAAAAGTGGTCCTTAAAGTCAAAGAGCCATCAGTGGACAAACAGATCCTCCTTCCCCAGCGGCCAGCCTTCACAGTGAGGCTTTTCTCCGCACAAGTGCGCTCTCTGCACGGACAGAGGGGGGGCTGGCTGAGCTCCACAGACCCGAGCCACGATTACAGGGGAATGACAAGGCAACCAACCCCCGATTAGCAAATCACGGGGCTGGAAAGTCTCCCACAGGTCCTCCCATTGGCTCTGAAATGCGCCCCCAGCAGACTCCTGAAGGAACAACCTGCAGAGCTCCCAACAAACCTGCAGTGATGAGGACAGAACAGAGACTGGCTCTCATGTTGGATTTATTCTGGCACTATAAAACACTGAGGAGCACTTTAAATTTAWTGCACTGAACACAGCACAGAAACAAAGCTGAGGGTAAGGTTTAAGGTATGGAACCCTGCAGGTGCCATGTATGGAAATAAAAACAGAAGYGGCAAAAATCTGTTTCCTCAGGAAGTAAAAGGTACTCAGTGTGAAGTCATACAGATTGGAGAAAAACTGTTATAAAGTAAAAAGAAATAAGTTTAAAAAACAAAATACACAATGTTTTTCTTATTTTAATGTGTTTTTACACACAAGAAATTTTATTTGTTCACTATAAAAACAGCCAAAGTGACTGAAAACATTAAACTCATTGAACAAATTTTTTACAGACTCAACCTGATGGACAATAATTGTGACTCATATGGATTTAGGTGGATTCAGCTTTGTTTACATTGAGTGTGGACCCGCATTTTAGATTTTTTTTACAGTGAGACACATGATCATTATGGTTGTAATAAACTTTGACGTTTCTAGTTTAACTTCAACTAAACATAAAACCACGTTCTTCATTTCATCRCTATGCCTAAGCACCACTAATAATAACTGAGCTCCACCTGGTATTTCCTGCATAGAAATAGTGTTTTCTTATAAACGTCCTCTTGTAAACACTGAAAAGTACTACATGTACAACTGACTAAATGTGAAATAAATAATATATAAATATTACTGTTGAGTTGTGGTGAGTAGTTGCCATCTTGACTTCTGAATTCTCCCACTTTCCTACAGGGAATTCCCACTGGAGCGGCGTTCCAGTTTAAATTTACGACTTGTAAGTGGGAAATTCCCACTTCTCAGGACAACTGGGCTGTAGAAAAAGATGCCAGCGAAAATGCAATGAAATGTAAATTTTAAACGGTGAATTTTGTCGGCTACTTTTGAACTGTGTGCAGCGCCACCTAGTGGTGGGATGGTGTCATTTCCTGGGTAAAATAATCAACATGTATTATGGGAGGTGTAGTTAATTAATTTTTAATATGAATTGCAGCATGAAGTGGGGGTGGGGCATGTTTTTAATTACAAAACATTATGATTTTTTGTTTTGTTTTTATAGTTTCGTTACTGTTAGATGTTTTATTATTTTTGTTGATAGTTGTTTTTATTGTCTGGAGGGACTACAGATGTAAATTAGCCTAAGGCTAAATCTGGTGCAAAGCATCAAAWGSTTTTAATTGCACRTTGTCCTGAAACTAGTTTATGTTTAATTAGTTTAGTGTAAAAATAGTTAATGGYCAATGCTGGCTTTAAAGACATTACATACCTGAAGCTCTAGTGGGCCTCATAAAATGCTGTGAAGGGCTACATTTGGCCCGCGGGCCTTGAATTGGACGTGTGATCTATTAGTTTCTTTCTGCAAGTTTTATTAAAATTCAGGTGAACTTGGTATATTAAACACACTTACAGACACAATAATTTTTTCTGAAAATGTCCTTTTGACAATATGTAATTTATTTGTTTTCATTTCAATTTGCCATCCATACGTTTAGTAAAATCCATCGTATTCCTGTTCGATCTATAAATACAACCCCTCTCTGCCAGCCAGCTCAGCGTTTTATTATTTCCTTGCCTTTGAAGCGGTGAGTGGTTCCAGAGGTTCTTTGTGAATGAGCTCCGTCCGTTTCTTGGCTCACGCCGGAGAATAAATGGATGCTAACTCGACTCTCTCTCCCTCTGCCAGCTTGTCCTTCCCGACCAGCTGGACTGGACCCACTTTCGGCCAAACCAGAATCAGATGCTGCTCCTCGATGAGGCAGAGAGCAGAGTTATCTCTGGAAGTAGTTTGTTTCTGGGCTTCATGCTACRGCTCATCCTTCCACGGTTCACAAGGCAGGAACAATATCAGAGTAGCTTCAAAGTGTTTTCAAGGAAATTTTACTAAAACAATTTTTGGCTCGGCTCTGTTTAGCATTCACTACTCAATAATTTTCAGACCTTTGAGATGTTTAACCTATTATCTTTATTTCCTAAATTGTGTCCAACAATTTTCTTCAGTCGATCTGGATCCTAAAGTACTTTTTTTTTTGTAAACGGTCACTGAGCAGCGAGGGACACAGCAGCAGATGGACGCCTCGGGGACACTGAGACAAGCTCACAACTTCAAGTTTGCTGCTTTGATTTCTTGTTGAATAGAGAAGAGATGGACAATCAGTAAAACTTTTTTATGAGAAATACTTAAAGAGATAACAAACTGTAGTGGCTCAAACTTTTCAAAGTTTGTCAGTGGTGACAGTTTGACTTGATTTGATTTGATTTGATGTATTTACCAGGAAAAGATTATTTAAAATCAAGCCTGACTCAGCATAATTGCTGTTTTACAGCAGGTTCCTGTTCTGCAGCACATAAACACTCAGAATTACAGCATCACAATCACATCATTATACACCATAGACACAAAGACAAACAAGCATACCAAATTTCAGGAAGGCAGCATTTGCAAAATAGGACGTCTAAATATGAGCACAACAAAAAGTGTCCAGCAGATGGCAGACACGATTCTTCTTCAAGGGCTTTTGTTTTGAAATGGACTTTATGTTTTGAGGAATGTCATTCCATGCTTTAGTATAAACATAGAAGAAAGACCTCTGGCCGTAACAGTTTTTAAAAGTTGGTAATATCAGTTGTCCTTTTGTAACAGATCTAGTTGAATGACCACTTCCAGAATTTGATTTGGGCAGCAATGCACAGAGAGTTCTATAATTGGCACCTTGGAAGATTTGAAAATATAAATTAATACCACTATACAAAACATAATTCTGAAAAGTCAAGGCATCAGACAATGAAAGAACTGTACAGTGATGAGTCCAACCAGGAAGTTTTTTATGAATTTTGTAGGCCCTGTTGTAGAGCCTAACTATGGGTTCTAAGATTTCATTTGTTGTAAGAGACCAAACAGGTAAACAGTACGACATGGTTGAGAGTATAATGGCATGAAGATAGATATTTGAAACAGAAGATGTCAGATTGGATCTAATTTTTGAATAAACGTATAATTTCTGTTTCAACTTAGTGGTTAAGACTTGTACATGATCACGATAAGTCAAATGAGAATCCAAAATAATTCCAAGATATTTGTAGGTAGTGACAATATCAAGGGTTTTGTTTAAAAAAGTGAGTTGATTTGTTATATTGAAATGTCTCCTGGGTGAGGAAAAATACATGCACACAGTTTTTTTTAACATTAATTGACAAAAGATTATCTTGAAGCCAACCATGAAATGTCTGAAGATCTGCTTGTAACTGACTATTAATAGATTCAATATTGAAATCAGACAAAAAAAATGAATAGTCCGTTTATGTAGCATACAGAGTAACAGCAACACTAAAGCTGAGGTAAATTTGGTCAAAAACAGACCTTTTGGAAGAGAACAGGACACACATGCTTTCACTTTTAGGGTCATTTAATATAAATGTGAAAAACGTTATTTAGCTCAGTTCTTAAAAGTAAAATCGTAGTTTAAAATTTTCCTCTAACATTTTATTGTTATTTATCTCACTGTTCTTACATTTTACAAWTTTTTACCAAATATTAAATTTAAATTGTAAAAATATATGTAAATACTGAATCTAAATGTATAAATCTAAATGTGAAATTAAATCTTAAATGTTGACGTTTACATTTATTTTGACTGTTGGTGCTCGGCTTTTGTTGTGATGTCATCATTCTGAGACAATAGCAACCGCTAACGCTGCTAATCCTACTGACACTACTAATTTTGCTAATGCTTTCCTAAAAGACATCAAACTTGCAGTTACAGTCTGTGTCCAAGCTGTACTTCAAATTGTTGAACCACAGTTACCATCTGTATTATTTTCAATAAAAAACATTTTGAATTTAAATTGTAAATATCATCTTCAGTAGCATTAGCAGTGTTAGCCATGGTTAGTGTTAGAGGAGCTTTAACTGCATTCAAGCTTTTAATATTTACATATATTCTTTTAATATTTAAATTTAACATTTAGCAATTGTAATATTTAGCAAAAATTAGCAATTAAAATTTGTTTCTGTAGCAAACGAAACAAAATGACACTTGAGCAATGGGTAAACCTTGTGGTACACAACATTTAAAAAACAATTCTCGACATGCATTGTAAAGGTAAAGGTGAAAATAAGAAAAGTGGCCTTACTCTCTGAGATTTAACCAAGTTGGTTTTTGAACACAAGTGCTTTTCACAAGCAAACTGAAGCAAAGCAGCAGCTCCTGTCTGCCAGTGTTTACACAGGACTGAGAGGATAAAGAGCTCTTTCTCTGCAGTCCTCCTGTCAGACACAGACTGATGAGGAGTTGTGTCGAGTCATGTTTAGCCACGAAACTCAGTTCTTACTCTGGACCAGCTTATCTCTGTCAGTCATATGATGACTGAAACAGTCACATGACCTCTCAACTCGTGTGCTTACATCTTATTTTTATCTGGTGCAAAACATTTTCTGTACGAGCTGGGTCACCAACGAAGGTGCACATATGTTGTTTTTATCCATTTACAAGGGGATTAGTAAGATTGCATAAGGTAAATTTGAAGGAAATCTTGTTATGATTATATTTAACACAAGAAAAAATATTGGCATGATTGTGTTTCCGTATATCTTGTGCTTAAGGCAGTAAACTTGCTCAAAGCAGCACATAAAAGAAGCACAGAGCCTGACATTATGGATTCTAAATGAAGAAATACAGTTTATCTGCCACAAAGTAACATTCAGCCGTATGTGTTTCTGTTTAAAGGCTGCCACGATGCAAGGTTAAAGGACACTCCTCAACAAAATCCTTCATACAGTCGGAGGAGAGACGGATGAAAAGG